CTTTCTCCTCTCTCTCTCTCTTTCATTTTAACTAAATTTGGGAAAAAACAACATGTGCCTTATCTGTACCAGCTGTGTTTATGAACAAGTTATTCTCTAAACTTCATTTTTGATCAACCAATGCTCTTTTGTTTACTTTCTTACTCAGGGATCTGGCATGTAACGGTACAGTTTTCTGGCTGTTTCAAACAGAATTCAAAAGCTCAGTTCCCAGATGGAGAAGTGATTTTGTTTATCGAGTAGAGTATCTCTGTCTGTTGGCTAGGATGCTGAGAATACTCATCGTGGATTAGTCCTGACAAGCAGGGTTGACACAGCCAGGTTCCACAGTGATCAAAATTATATGAGTAGGAATATATAACATTCGCAATGAAATAAAGCACTAAAAAATCCGACAGCCACAACTAACCTAACCGTCTCACAAATGCATTTGCAAAAATAAGATCAGGTATGCATAATTTTAATACCCTTACACTTACACACTGCCTGCCACTAAATCAGAAAGCCACATCCAGGTGATTATAAAAACAAACAAAAGTTCTCTCTCTGGGATCAATGTAACCGAGGGGATGTTTGTTTACAGTATTACCTGTGTGTTATGTTGTTTTTTATTTTGTTGATTCCACGTCAATAAGGAATCTGATCTGGTGAAGACAATTACATTCTAACATACATAGGCAATTCAGGTTAATTACTATGACTATAAAAATGTTCCTACTTTATTGACACACTTCAAATCATTGAGAGAAGGGCTGCTTTAACTTATGTTACTGCCAAACTGGGCAAAATCTGAAACAGCATTCCAGCAGAAAAATGGAGATACTCGATAAAATAAACTTCCTGAAAAAGCCTGTTCCTTAAATTATCTAAATTGTGTCACTGGGGCATAAAACACCCACATTCAAAGTTAAAAAAAGAAAAATTTGTGTTGAAAGTAATATAAATCTTACCACTCCCTCTTGGCCCCTGTACTCTGAAAAGCAGTTGAGGAAGAAAGCTACTGTGGCCGAGACATAATGAAGACAGGCAATGGCAAACCACACCAGGTCTGACTTGTACATCTGTGGGAAGGTAGCAGTATCAAATATTTTTTTGGTTTTGTTTAAGTAGAGGTTTTACGGCACTCCCAACTGCATAAGGTCGTATGAGCGCCAGAAGATTAGAGGTGTTACAAGAAAGTAACAAACATAAAAAAGAAGAAGGGGAGATAAGGACAATATATGTTTAATGGGAAAGAAGGAGCAAACCACACCAGAGCACCCGCCAACCACCCACAGTATCAGATATAACACATAACACAGAGAAAAAAGAGAGAGAGAGAAAGAGAGAGAGAGAGAGAGAGAGAGAGAGAGAGAGAGAGAGAGAGAGAGACAGACAGACAGACAGACAGACAGACAGACAGACAGACAGACAGACAGACAGACAGACAGACAGACAGACAGACAGACAGACAGACAGAGACAGACAGAGAGAAAGAGAGAGAAAGAGAGTTGTAAAAAATAATAAATGTTCTCAGCCAATGTGATGATAAAGAAAGTCAACCTTGAACCATAACAAGAAAAGCATTATTCTAAAGTATACAAAGATGAACTATACACAGTTCGGTAAGTCAATGTGGTGTTCTTTTGGATAACTTGATTTTGTATAGGTTTAATGTTCCTTGCAACACTGTAAGGTTATTTAAGAGGAGGGACCCTCAATTTTAAAATCTCTGATAGGAAGGTCAAATGAGAAATTTGTTAAAAATGACTTTCCCAAGGATACAACTTTTGATTAAGCTGAGCCTTGAACCCAAAAAATCGCAATCGCACAATTATGAGTCTTGTAACCTAGCCACTAGACTACCGACGGAACATAAATTGACTTTATTCAGAGGCTGAATAACAAGCTGTTACTACCGAACAGTGCCCAACCTGATCAGGTTATGGATTATGCACCCAAAAGAATTTTCCAATTTTGTTTAAAGTTGTGTCTTGGCATCATTAACGGTTGAAATCCCTTTCATAGGATATCAAAATTATTCTTAGTAGGATTTATCAGCTTTTGTTGTCCGGTCTTCCCTGGAATACAACAATAGCCTACTCACTATGTGCAGTACAACTACTTGCAACACCCTTGACAGGGTCCAAAACAATGCCCTTCGTTTTATAAATGGTGGCATGAGATCCCCACCTACCGCCGCATGCGAAATCCTTTCAAATGTTGAACCTCTGGGAATCCGCAGAGATAAGGCAGTTTTGGAGCTACATGAAAGAACTAAAAGAATGTGCCCCAACCATCCAAAAAGGAAACTAGTAGAAACATGGAAACCAAAGAAACGAATTCAACAAAAGTCAATCATGCATCACATAACAGAACTAATGGAGAGCCATCATCTACCACAAAACAGAAAAGAAATCAAAAGAGTCAACCAAAACATCCCTCCCCACCTTTCTTTAAAAAAGCCAATCATTACAACATCTCTCCGAGACAAGAGCACAAAATCTTCAGACCCAGTGACGCTGATGCTTGCATCGCATCAAACAATCGACAGCTATTCAGATGACTGGATACACGTCTATACGGACGGCTCAGCATTCAAAGGCACAACCAAAGCCGGATATGGAATACTAATACAGTACCCAGATGGAAGTTCCAATGAGATCTCTGCAGCCGGTGGAGAGAAATGCAGCAACTACGATGCAAAAATGATGGCAATTAAAACAGCACTGTACCATCTCCACACAGTTTTTGACACTCATCCTGGAAAAGCACAGAGTGTTGTGATTTTCACTGACTCACTATCAGTCTTACAAGCCATAGAAAATGACCATCATCTAAACCAAGATTTGACTCATATACTGTTTGGCTCCCATCATCTGATAACATTCTGTGGCATCAACCTAGTAATGCAGTGGGTCCCCGGACACTCAAACATACCTGGAAATGACAGAGCAGACACACTTGCCAAACGGGGATCTAGACAGGAACAACCCAACATTCCAACTTCATACAACACTGCAAAACAAATCATTAAAAGCAACAACAAATAAGATTGGATGAACAGATGGCCCCTGGGAAAGACAGGCAGAGCAGTTTCAAAGATATGACCACAACAAAAAGGAATGACAATATCAACCATATACAGAGAAAGAAACAGACCACGATCTTACGCTTACGAACAGAACATATACAGCTCAACTTCCACCTGAACAGAATAAATCCGGAACTTCCCCCAATGTGTCCCTTGTGTGACTATGCATATGAGACTGTGGATCATCACCTGTTCCACTGCACAGCCCTAAATGACATCAGAGCTACCCTTCTCCCTCCGAGACCTAACATTGACAACACTATATGGAACATTACAGCAACTGCAGCAAACCTGCACTTATCACTACATGGCATTGGACAGAAGGGCGAGAGCCCAGCTGTTGCTGGATTGATAACAACAACAACAACAACAACAACATCAGCTTTTGTTAGGTTAGATGCTCCGCCATGGCACACAGAAAACCTGATTTTAATTCTCGTGTAGGGAGGATTTTAATCCAGTATCTCAGTCTTTCTGCTACATATTTCATCCCTTTAATCTTATATAGGCCCTGACAGGCAGGGTCAGAGCTCGCCTCTTGAATGATCTAAATTGAATTGATGGGCAGGAGCGTAAAACACCTACCAAAACAGTAAGATATCACTCTCAAAAGAGAGGTAAAAACTTACTTCAAGCTCAAATGCAGAGTAGAATGGAATGAGTCGAGCCAGAGACGAAAGTAGCCAAAACACAAAGGTAAGGGGTGAGTTCCACACACCTTTGGACCTGTCAGCCACCATGAGGCAACCGTGAAGGAGCTGTACAAACAACCAGGAACATTGTAAAACGTAAACACAAACACCCCTATAAATGTTCGCCTGATTTCCAGTGTGTGACTGTGTGAGTGTATCTGTCTGTCTGTGTGCCTGTGTGTCAGTAAGTGTGTCAGAGTGTCTGTGTGTCTGTCTGTCTGCTGGTCTTTTGGTCGGTTAGTCAGTCTGTTTGTTATATTTTTAATCTCTCGAGTAATGTTTCCCTGAATCCATTTCCCGTCTGTCTGTCTGTCTGTCTGAAAGTTATCCCCACTCGTCTGTTAAGATGCAATATTCCATCTGATTAGCAAGCATATTCTGTAATGTACATATATATATATATAT